ACCCAATAGTTACTGAAAAAGAACAGAAAAAAATGATCTTACCACCTTTGTATTATCATTCCACCAACTGCAACTCTTGGATCCACAAAAATGTTAAGATTGATCATGAAGCTGAATAAATGATGCATAGCCTTGAGTCTTTTGGAAGACATATTTTTTCAATCTGGGCTATGACCTGGCTTGGGACTGGCTAACCTGATAGATGACTTATTGTTAGAGAGAAAGAAGGGTAATTTTACTCTACTGATTTGCTTTGTATCTCAGCAGCTTTTGATAGTGTATACTACACTATTTCCTGGAGCATCTGTGTGAGTTGGGAATTGTTTAAGAACTATGCTAGATGGATTCCAATCCTACTTGAAAGGACATTTTCAGAGAAGAGAATTTATTGATGATGCCTCTGCTCCCTGACTGCTGAGATGCCAGTGCACTATAATATCTACATGAAGTGTAATGGAGCACTTATCAGCAATAGAATTCAGCAGAAGCATTCTATGCAAGAATATCTGGCATGCACGTTACACTCTGTTGAAGCAAGTGCACTGGCTAACAATTAACAAGCAAACCAGGTTTACCTTAGGCATGTAAACAGTCTCAGATACTTGAGAGATCATTTCCCCCAATAGAGTCCTGCACAATCAGTAAGATTAAGAAAAGACAATCTGCTACATTTGCTGTGATTTATAGACTGCAAACTTGTAGTCACTTGTCCACTGTAGTAGTACCAGCTGTAGTAGTACCAGATTATCCAGATTAAAATCCACTCTAATCCACAAAATTTCATTCTGAGTATTGTAAATGCAAGACTGCAGGACATAGGGCTATAGAATTTAGCAAAGTGAATTCATGGTTCACTGCAGCCTGTTTTAAACAACCAAAACACAGGCTATATCTGAGGGTGATTGGTTGGAAAACATTGGAATACAACTGATAATATACGAGAAAATGCAATATGGAGAAGTATAATACAGTCAGTGAGTGCAGTGTGTGGAACAGTTCATGAATTACTGGTGTCATATGTACATATTACTTAAAAAATTAAAGGGAGTATTTGAGAAAATATTTAAGAGAATTTAAAACACTTTGTTTTATTGATAACAGCAAGTTTGTTTTGAAGGTAATTCATGTCAGAATTTGAAAATAAAGCCAGTGAATGTGCTAGAACATTCGGTTATTCTTTTACAATGAGTAAGAAGCTACTGTTGAAATGGAGTTTGACGAAACAGAGTGGCTCAGAATAATGTAGGGAGTAAGAGAAGGACTCATCCTGTCCCTGAACTTGTTTAATTTACAGTGATTATAATAATAGCAGTGTGGGCAAGCAGGTTGCTCAAATTGCCAGCACCTGTGCTACTTCTGGACCTTATCTTTAAGCTCTTTCCTGTGTGCAGCACAGCAATTGCCTATAAAAGCAACTGCTGTGAAACAGCTGAGGGGGAAGAAGTGTTTGTGTGTGGAAGTAAAGAAGCAGCTGCAGCCAGAAAGGGACATTTCCAATAGCAATACTCACAATGAGTAGGAGTAGCAGCAGTAATAGGAATGGGGAAGAGTGAGTAGTGACTGTAATAATAGGTGAGTGCTTGTGTGTGCTGCTCTAGGGACTTGTGCTGTTGTTGGCTCTTTTGTGTCTTGAGCACATCTAATTGTGTATAGTTTTTTTTAAAAAATCCTATGACAAACTGGACCTCTCACTAGAGCCTATACAATCAGTCAGCATTCCAGAAAACCTCCACTCCAACAAATAACTCCAAGACAGACATCTTCTCAAAAGTTCTGTTTTATCTGGATAGTAAACTGGCACATCTAGGGAATCCCGAAGCTGAAAGTTCTGGGTTTCCTTGCAATAAGTAAAAACTACAAATCCACCCCCTGCACCCATCATCGCATCATATGCCCCAATCACTATCCGTCCCAACCTAAGACGTCCCCCTCACCCAAGTGCAGAACAACATGACCTTGACTTAGAAGAAGAATGCTATTATGTCTAACCACATACACCCCAAGAAATTCCCCTCTCCCATTTTCCCAGGCTTAAGAACGGGGCAGTGTGGAAGAGTCTGGTGTCAATATGGCTTCCAAAGCTGACACAAACAGGAATGGAAAAAGTAGAAAGAGCAGATATGTTCTCCCTAAAAAAGATACTATTACTTTGGTAGAGACAGGTATCTACCCTAGTGAAAGAAAAGGCAGAGCAGGCAGAAAACTGATGAACCTCCGGTATCATTACAGGAATGTTGAGGCAACAGCAAATGAAAAGGCACTTTTAAAAAGAAAGCTTTTGAAGGGAAAGTGGAAATATAGGCTTGAATGGGAAGAGTGAAAGGGAGGCAAGGAGGGAAGTGCCTCCAGTCACCAGGAGACAGGGGGACCATTCATCTCTAGGGTTTTCAGAACAGAGGAGAGATGGTCCCAAAGATCTCAAAATCCCTGGGTTAACAGAAGAAGATATAGAAACCTTTGCCACATTTGAAAGAGTTACTAACTCTCATAAATGGACTATGAATGAATGGGTGGCCAGATTAGTAGCCCCATGCTTATCAGGGAAATGTTCTAAGGGCTTTTAATAGTCTTTCAACTAGGGGAGTAATCAGGGGTGGGATTCAAATTTTTTAACAACCGGTTCTGTGGGCGTGGCTTAGTTGGTGGGCATGCCTTGGTGGTCATGTGACTGGGTGGTCATGGCTTGGTGGTCATGTTATTGGCTGGCCGTGGCCAACTCAATATCACTCACATCAAGGCACGCATCTCCTCGCCTGGCCTCTCATGACTGTGGGGATGCTGCAACAGTTGTAAGTGTGAAAAATGGTCATAAGTCACTTTTTTCAGTGCCATTGTAACTTCAAATGGTCACTCCACACAAGCAAAGTACCAGCAAAGGAGGGGGGAAAAACTCCAGAGAGGTTCCTGAGACAGGAAGTCTAGTCCTGCCAAGAATGTAATAAGGGTTAACAGAGAGGCAGTATCTATAAGCAACACCAGAATGTTTCCTCTCTGCCTTCCTTACAGGATTAGGCCAGTAATTTCTTCTAACAATGGGTTCTCTGAACTGCTTAGAATGTTAACCGGTTCTAGCAAATAGGTGCGAACTGGTAGAATCTCACCCCTGGGAGAAATAGATTATACCAATTCACCGTTAATCCAAATAGTGTCTCACATTACAACCTTGCCAATTCAATATCATATATCAAGATATGGACAGCAAAATGTCATCGCTGATTTGCTACTACAGCACGGGAAAGACACAAATAAGTGGCACGAGCCTCATGAAAAAACAGGATTGGGGTTTTTTTTATTAAAAGAGATGAGGTTTGTGGTAGGCTGCTTAAAAAAAATTCTGTGCTGTTTCTGTCTCTTCTCTTTAAGCCGTCTCCCCAGTGTCAGCATGGCAGATGTCTATAAAAGCTATGTGAAACAGCTGAGAATGTTGGGAAGAGGTATCTGTTGGAAGTAAAGCAGCCAGAAAGGGACATTTTCTCTAACAGTATTTGTAAGGAGTAGGAATAGCAGGAGGAGTGGAAAAGCATGAGTAGTATTGAGTAATAGTATGTGTGTTGTTTAAGGAGCTGTGCTGCTGATGAGTCGTTTGTGTCTTGAGCCCAAGCTAAGTATAGTTTAAAAGATCCTGACAGGCAGAATTGAAATTTGGAATCAAATTTGGAGATTAGACACTAATGAAATCTGCAGAGTATGCTACTTTATTATCTGAAAATAAAAATGATGTGGAAGAGCTCATTGTGAAAGTAAAAATGGGAAATGAAAAATCTGAGCTAACGTTAAATAACAAAGACAACAATGTCAACCAGCATGCTTAGTAAGCCCATAATGAAGAAAACAGACTTATGGTGTGTGTGTGTGTGTGTATGTTCAGCAACAAAAATGGGTATAAAGCATTAAAAATGAATTAAATGCAATTTACAAATTTAAACAAGGTAATGAAGGACATTGCCATGACAACAAAAGTCAGAATAATTAAAGCAATGGCTTTTCTAGTAGCCATATACAGCTGTTGAGTAATAAGATACAAGTCTTTAAATTATGAATTTTAGGGTTTGTTAAGTCAGTTGATAACAGACCCATGGATTGGGAGAAACATAAATGTGTCCTGGATGAAATAAAATTTGACTATTCCCTTAAGAGAAGTATCAGAAAACAGAAACATATTTTGGTCATGTGATATGAGCAGGTGATAATTAGAAAAAAGATTTTTTTCCAAATATCCTTTGAGGGAAGCATAAAAAGGAAAGGAAAATAAGTAAAACTGGAGTGGACAAAAGACATTATTGGAAACTGAAAAAGCTGTGGATCATCACATGGGACAGGCTGACATGATTGGCAGTCACCAAGTTCTGACTCAAGAGTTTGTAACTCATAAACAAGCCATTCTTTCATTACTCCACTATTTGAATTTGCATTTCTTAAAAAGTTACAATTGCTCTCACCTATAATCTGAATTAATGTAGGCCACTTGTTTCAATGAACTAATACATTATTCAAAGTTCTTTAGTCACCAGTTATTTTATTTATAAAAATAAGACTTTTTGTGGAAACAAATGGTATAAATATTACCTAACACTAACTGTGAAACATCAATATTTTCAACAGGTCCACTGCATGTTTGGGATCTGAGAATGGAAATCAGAGGTAGGGTGTTACCAACAGACTAGTGACATTTCAGTCCAAATCTTTTGGTTTCATATAACTGCTGAAAAGCACAAGAGCCACAAAGGAAGTTTAGAAAACCCAACTGATCAAAGGCCATAGAGTGGGCCACAATACCATTTCCCCACTTCTCTCAAAGTGATCCTCTGAAAGTCAAAAAAATATTTTCTCTAAATATTAGAAAGGACAAAAGCAAAGCAGATATGTGTTTAAGTATGTAAGAATATGTTCCTAAGAAGTTTTTTTTAATCCCAACACAATATAAACACTAGGTTATGCTGATAGGTTTACATTATTTTTAATGTCAAATATTAAAAGCAGAGAAACATTTAGAGAATAAAGAAACTTTATTTTATAACAGTATTATGCAAGCAAAATATCACTTAATACAACTTCAAGCTGCTATAAATTTAATATGGCATCTTAACTATACAGTTCATATGGTGAACAATGGAGAAAAATGGATATAGTCAACAGGTTTTCATAGAGACCTCCTCAGTAGCAGGTACCACTGATAAATGGACCTAAGGCCATACCCTTGGTTTCTTTTGGTCCTCAAAACCTGTTCCTGTTATTAGGCAAGCTACTTAAACAATAACTGCTCAACAAATGTCAGTTATAACAGGAGTTAATGAGTTTTTATTAGGGCAGGGCAGCACTTAAGATTCAAAGACTAAAAGGCACCTCAAAGAGTCCAAGACAGAAGATCGTCTGTGGTGCTGGACTGCAACTGCTTAAGTGAGACATGTCTATTCCTGGGATCGCATAGACAAACCTATGGAAAAATTCTCCTCCACTCTGTAAGGAGTTGCATAAGGAGAGATAGTCTGGCATGCTGCTTTCAGTGTGTGCTCCGACACACTTTCTGCATTTGAATCAGTAGCGCTGCCAACCCTGAGGTTTTTTTTTTTTAGGCAAAGCAAGATTTTTTTCTGCAGGTGCATTTATATAATGGGAGTATCTGACATTTAGCATACTAAGAGAAAAGCATTAAGTTTTAAGCTGCCTAAATTTGCTGGAAGGACAGAGCAAAGTGCTTCCAACTCTGGAATGTTACAGACCCTTAGGTCTCTTTGAAGGGACTGGCTGAGGACAGTGAAGTGCAAACAAAAGGCTACTTGAACAGTGGTTGGTCAGTAGAAATATATATATTTTTTAATAACTAAAACTTCGCTTCTATATGATACCAGCACCAGTTCTCTCAAAAAATAGGAGATCATCAGAATAAACAGAATTTTTTTATATAGGAATCTATATAAAAATCATACAGATTTTCAGTTTACTTTCCCTGCCAAGCTATAAGAACATTTCGTGTTTTTTTTTTAATAAAAAGAATATTTTTCTTGTACTGTTTGACATTTATCTGAAAAAGTAAATTTTTTCCAGTTAAATCTTTGAGACATTTTGAAAAGCCTGTATCTAAATTAGTCAGGGTTCCTTTTCCCTGCATATTAAAACTGCTCAAGTAAACAGTTTTTTCTAAATATTTTTGCTTCATGCAAACAAGAAATCAGTTGTACAAAAATAGCAGGGAATTGAACAAAAACAAATCTCTATACCTCATTAAAAAAAATCCAAGAATGTTAAAAATTGGTTATAAAAACAAAGACATACATGAAAAACTGTAAGGTTGACAATTCGGTTTAGAGAAATTTGGTCCCTGTAGTGAGGCTTGGTGTATTCAGTGAAAGACTGGCTGGGATATCAACTTGGAATTATTGAAGTTCTTCATAGTCTCAAAGCATTCTTCATAAACCTAAAGAAGACATTTAATGCAATTATAGTTATAAATCTTAAACTATATTAAAACATTTTTACTAAATTGCCTTTTTTCTCTTTTGAAAACAGTTTTCCTTCCCAAGGCCTCATGCTATATTTTTCCAATAAATTTCACACTCTAATTGGTCCAATTACCATTAAGCTACAGAGGGACAGAACCTGCTACTTTATTCTATAATTATAAATAGCAGTATTATACTTAGAATGTAGAACCTAAAACCCAGCTATTGTTAAAAATCCTTGTATATCGTTAGATAAGCATAACTTCTACTTTGGGAAATATCTGTTTTATTTATTTTAAAATTTATTTGCTGCCCATCTGGCATCAAGTTACTAAAGCAACTACTAGTCAAATGATAAATTTCTTCTTATATCACAAAATATAATATAGGATATAATAATTAAAATCACAAGGTATAACATAATTTTTAAGGTAGGCATGTCCAGTTCTGCCTGGCTTAAAGTCAGAGACAAAGACAGGTATTACATGTTACTACTTCTCTTCCAAATCTGGGTAACTTGGGAAAAGCTGTGGTGTGAACAGAGAGGATTTTTGCCAATCTAAACCACAAATTGCTTTGATGTCCGTGAATCTCTCAAGGTGCTGTCATACTAATCCACAATTCTAAGGGCAGGAATATAACAAATATTCCCTGATATCCAAATATAGTGGTGACTTAAAAGCAGGATGAAGAACTTTTTACTGCTCGCAGTAAATGCAGAAAATTGGAGGGGGGGGTTGTTGTATTATCAACATTATCTACATTAAAATTCAAGGTGTGCAATTTAGAAAACACAGGGTTAGCACAAAGCGCCATGTTCCCGTCAAGATCACTGATAACGCTGGAATATAATATACTGTTCTTATCAAACTGAATATTCACAATAATATGAATAGTATGTCAATATTATTTGAAAATCCATAGTTATTAATTCACCTAAAGCATTTACATGCCATTTGAAAAATGCATATTGTTGAATGTAACAACACTAAACTTTCTTACCACACTTTGGATTTTTTTTAAATGTTGAATACTATCTTGGGATCAGTTCCAAAAGTTTACAAGTTGTGTGACTAATAGTCATGTATAGGAAAATCTGCCTAGTTATTATTAAAAGGTGTGATTTGACTGTATGTTGGAACAAAAGACTGCATTAGATTGTCATGGACAAATATTTAATATACCACCAGGTGGCATCAAATATTTTGACAGTATTCTCAATAAACAAGTATCCTTTTTGCCATTTCTCATGTTTTGATACTGAAAACTGCCTCCATCCCTTTCCCTTTTTCTTTCCTGTACTCTTGCTTCCTGAACCATTCTTTAAAAAAAATATGGAAGAATAAAATCACTGCAAAATCAGAAGATCCATTTACTTACTATAAGACATATTCAAGTTGAGGTTTTCATATGGCTGGTATCTATAATCTAAAGCCATTATGAAGAAATTCTCCAAACAATTGTTATATGAATGATTGTTGTATACATTATGAGCTGAAAATCCATACCTTAATGGCCTTCCTCTTCAAGTTCACTCTCCTTATGCACCACTACTCTTGTTACAGACATGTCAGGGTGCTGCTCTTTGGCTTCCTTAATGGCTTGTGCCAATGCCTGCAATGCCAGAAAAGTAGAATAACTAAATGGCAAATTAAAATTAACAGAGTTTAACGTATAATGGCTAGCAAAGCTCTTAATGCTTATCTTCCTGGAACAATTTAATTAAATATTAAACTAAGCATATCATTCCCGTAATAAAACAACCAACTGTAGAAGAAGAAGAAACTTTTAAAGTGTTATATCAAAAGCTATAAATACATTTACAAATTTGCTGAATGATATCAAATTATTTAAAGTATTAAAATTTGTAGAAAGCTTTTTTAAGTAAGGATGCTTTTTCATGTTTTGTTTTGTAAGGTATTGAAGACTACTTGGTAGCAAATGTATGCTAAAGCACTTGTTTTTTTCTGCTAGTTTCCAATATGCCTTGTTCTATTGTTTAGCCTATTTTTCCCACTTGAGCTGATCTACAATCTCAGACTAATGAAATACAGTTTAGCAAACAAATGGCAATTGGAAGAGTTAATATTTTTTTATTGTTCATCATTTCCACTCTACAATTTTGTCATCCTCTCTCCAATTTGTGCTAATGTGGTAGCTGCAGAATTTGGAAAATGCATTTCAGAACACTAGACACTTTACCCTTAAAATTTTACTTGTTGATGTGGAAAAGATCAGCAATCTCCACAGAATCCCTAACCCTAAACCAAAATTAATAATTGTTTTCTATATATACACTGCTCAAAAAAATAAAGGGAACACTTAAGCAACACAATGTAACTCCAAGTCAATCACACTTCTGTGAAATCGAACTGTCCACTTAGGTAGCAACACTGATTGACAATCAATTTCACATGCTGTTGTGCAAATGAATAGACAACAGGTGGAAAGCATAGGCAGTTAGCAAGACATCCCCAATAAAGGAGTGGTTCTGCAGGTGGTGACCACAGACCACTTCTCAGTTCCTATGCTTTCTGGCTGATGGTTTGGTCACTTTTGAATGCTGGCGGTGCTTTCATTCTAGTGGTAGCATGAGACGGAGTCTACAAACCACACAAGTGGCTCAGGTAGTGCAGCTCATCCAGGATGGCACATCAATGCGAGCTGTGGCAAGAAGGTTTGCTGTGTCTGTCAGCGTAGTGTCCAGAGCATGGAGGCGCTACCAGGAGACAGACCAGTACATCAGGAGACGTGGAGGAGGCCGTAGGAGGGCAACAGCCCAGCATCAGGACCGCTACCTCTGCCTTTGTGCAAGGAGGGACAGGAGCACTGCCAGAGCCCTGCCAAATGTCCTCCAGCGGGCCACAAATGTGCATGTGGCTGCTCAAACGGTCAGAAACATACTCCATGAGGGTAGTATGAGGGCCCAACGTCCACAGGTGGGGTGTGTGGTTACAGCCTAACACCGTGCAGGACGTTTGGCATTTGCCAGAAAACATCAAGATTGGCAAATTCGCCACTGGCACCCTGTGCTCTTCACAGATGAAAGCAGGTTCACACTGAGCACATGTGACAGACGTGACAGGATCTGGAAATGCCGTGGAGAACGTTCTGCTGCCTGCAACATCCTCCAGCATGACCGGTTTGGCAGTGGGTTAGTAATGGTGTGGGGTGGCATTTCTTTAGGGGGCCGCACAGCCCTCCATGTGCTCGCCAGAGGTAGCCTGACTGCCATTAGGTACCAAGATGAGATCCTCAGACCCCTTGTGAGACCATATGCTGGTGCAGTTGGCCCTCCTAATGCAAGACAATGCTAGACCTCATGTGGCTGGAGTGTGTCAGCAGTTCCTGCAAGACGAAGGCATTGATACTATGGACTGGCCTGGCCATTCCCCAGACCTGAATCCAATTGAGCACATCTGGGACATCATGTCTTGCTCCATTCACCAATGCCACGTTGCACCACAGACTGTCCAGGAGTTGGGGGATGCTTTAGTCTAGGTGTGGGAGGAGATCCCTCAGGAGACCATCCACCACATGAGGAGCATGCCCAGGCATTGTAGGGAGGTCATACAGGCACGTGGAGGCCACACACACTACTGAGCCTCATTTTGACTTGTTTTAAGGACATTACATCAAAGTTGGATCAGCCTGTAGTATTTTTTTCCACTTTAATTTTGAGTGTAACTCCAAATCCAGACCTCCATGGGTTGCTAAATTTGATTTCCATTGATAATTTTTGTGTGATTTTGTTGTCAGCACATTCAACTATGTAATGAACAAAGTATTTATTAAGAATATTTCATTCATTCAGATCTAGGATGTTTTATTTTTGTGTTCCCTTTTATTTTTTTGAGCAGTGTAAACTTCAGCTGAAAAAAAAATGCAAAAACAAACCCTAAGGAACAGCACGAAGAAATATACAAACAGATATTTTTTTCTCTACTTGACATTTCTTTAGCAGTAAGTTTTTCAGAATGTATGGAAACAAAAAGAATACAATTGTATAAATTATTATTTTATTTCTATTTAAATGTCCATCACAGAAACAATGACCAGCATACTACTGAAAAAAAAAACCCATGTATTTACACACACAAAAATCAATATTTATGGATTAAATTCATACAAATGCATAGGTCCCACTGTAAGATTACTTTAGGATGTCATCATTTTATAGACTCCTAAATAAAGATGATAATTTTAAATTTTATTAAAACAAACATGTCTGACTTTTTCAAATTCTCCAGCCATGTTGAGCATGTGTTGGGAAGGATATCCCTCGGATCTAATGCTAAGCAGCTCTGCCATTTCATTTCAAGCTTCAAGGAGATTGAATTTGTCACATACATCCAAATCTCAGATTAAATTTATTTGGAAATCTTGATACATTACCATTAAGAAATTAAAATTAAATCCTGGTTACATTTATTTATGAAGACTTTAATGAGAGCTCAGTATGAGTTTAATGAACATACATGACTTTTTTTTTTTGCTTTAATCTACAACAATATTTTTGTAAATAAAGCATTTTGCAAATTAAATATTTTAACTATTATTCATTTTATCATAAGTTCCAATTCTTATACCTTATATTCTTAAAGCTTCCTTTCCTCCATATATAATTCCCTCATTATAAGCATTCATTTTGTCTCACCTGATCGTGATCAAGATCTGCATCTCCCGTGATAACAATCCGCTTTTCGATTCTGGTTTCTGACACACCACCTTTTACCATCTACAAGTTTCACCAGAAAAGGTTTGTTTAATCTTATAATGCTGTGAATTTACTTGACAAATATTGCAATGAAAAAGATATTCATCAGAAATCTACCTGTGCAAAATTAGACAAAGCTACAACACACACTTCAAATGCCTTTGGAGTAAAGAGGAAAAAGCAAATGCATTGTCACTTCTAGATTAATATTCCTGCTATCTACAACTGTTTCTGCTACAGGTGCATTTTATTGATAACTGCAATCATTCCTAACCTCTCTTCAGCACACCCTCCTCAGCATCATATTAGGGAAAAAGATGGCTAGAGAACTGTTAATGGTACAAGAAAGAAAGTAATAACTGGAAACACAATTCTTAAAATAATATGTCCAGCTGAAAAAGGATTTGGAACCATTTTGACATTTTACCAGCCTATCATTTTAAAAACAGAATTCAAAATGCAAATTAAAATAGTTCTTGCCTAGAAAATTTAATTGTGCCAAAATCAGGGCATCCAACTTCTCTCTTTTCACTAGCCAAATAAAAATAGGCCTCATACATGAAGAGATAAAAATAGGTTTTTGCCGCCATCCCATCAACTCATGGCTATTTATTTGATCACTGGCTTCATTTGGTTCATATTTTTATCAAGGAGAGAGGAGGGAGGGGGAATTCTGTTCCAAGGTGAGCTTGAAACCCTTTCTGAGAAGGAAACCCATAAAGGATGGACAGGTTGTGCTCTTGAGCTATTTATACTATTCCCTATGCTAGGTTAGAAAAAACTTTTCATCTACCAGTTGCCTAGCTTTTATTAAGTTATTTGGAAATTAACATTTTCTAGAAATTTCAGAAACAATAAAATAGGGGGGAAGGGAGAGAGGCAAAAAAAGTTAATCTACTATAATTTGAGACAGTCAGCAAAGTCCCACTGTTGCAGAGCTTTTGAAATACTCTTCTATAAATTCTTGACTGGCTGCAACCTTTATAGTGTTTTTATCAACTGCTCTATAGGAGCATGATGGCTCACATGGTTAGGATGCTCGGTTGGGAGGTTAGCAAGCCTGAGTTCAAGACCTAAGTGCTGCTTGTGGGGCAGGTGAGCTCCCGTCCTTCGCTCCAGCTGGGGACAGGAAAGGAGCCTCCAACTGGGCATCCCCCAGGCAATGGTGATGTCACTGGCTAATCCTTTCAACCCCACCAAGTGCCTTAGTGCTTCTGATATGAGTGTGATGCAATCAACTTGCTGTTACTCATTAAATATTTCTGACACATCCATACTTGTATTAAGTAAATATATTATTTTGTATGTTACTTTAATAATTTTATTGTGCAGTACCTATAGATTTGCTAAAATACTAAAAAAAAGGAAAAGTCTTAACACGAACTATGTTTCTTAGCATAGAGTAACATACAAAACTATAAAGAACCTTAAAAAGCTAGTATTCATGTATGAGAAGACAACTACAAAACTCATCTCTAACCAAGCCAATTACTATTAAAATAAATATTCTTCATGGAAGTATAAACATATCACAGTAAGCAAAAATGCTGGTGTAAATGAATAGACTTGATTACACTGGCTTCACTCATTGTCTTATAATAGCATATTAAAGCAATTTTTATATTTTATTTAAATTGGCATGCAAATATGGCTTCCAACTCCTTTTAGGAAAAGAACAAGGACCATTATGAACTGTTGAGATTTCCCCACAGTAGGAATAATCAAATAGAAGAAATTGAACTTGTTCATATAAACCAGAATTATAAAGCTCAAAGATTCAGGAAAAAAAACCTGAGTGACAAAGAGCTTCACACTCTAAATTATTTCTTTTCTCCTACCTTAGTAATATGTGTGGTTGTGGTAGTAGAGACAGATTCTGATGTGATTGTCTGCGCACTCAACAACATACCAACATCACCACCATCATCAAACTACATAGGCAAGAGCAAATACTGATTAAAAATTACATAAAAACACAAATTTATGATTTTTTTAAAGCAGAAGCAACCTTGTAAGAAATCAAATGCTGCCTCTCATCAACTAGACTGTATTCTAGCACAGTGTTTGCTTATATCCTGATTATGAAAGCAATGTCCTTTCTTCTTTGTGACCTGAGCAGTAAACAAACAGTATGATCTCAGTAAAATGTCCAATTCCAATCCTTTTCAATTTGCTGATGCGTAAAATACCCATGTGTAGTTGATTCATTTCATCTTTCATTATGCTGAACTTTCCAATGTTTGTGCTTCTTCTATTTCATGATTGCTCAATCATTCCCTTTGCATAGAATTCAGATATTATTTCCCGTTATGCAAAATCATGAAGATTACAGCGCTTATAGCGAGTAATACGACATTAGAAATGTAAAGATAGGCCAATGACAGGGCTTAAAGATAGGACAGTAAACTACTCATGTTGCAAATGTACTAGGCATCCTGATTTGTTTAGACAGACTAATGCACAGTGTATGGAAGAAATCAGTAAATGTAATCTAACTTATTCTGTCATCTATATAGGATCAAAAGCAATTATTTCTCAAACATTTGGGAAGGATATGGAAAGGAAGCCATGATTGTTGTGATCACGATTGTTGTGATTCCTATCTTATTAAATTCTTATCTAGAAAGGCAGCACGATCGCTTTCATTAAATGCAGCTATTTTAATTTAAACATCTGTACCTGAGGAGATTCATAGGTGATAGTTTTAGTCTCTGTCTGAACAATTGGGACTTCTTTGGTGGATATTTCAGTTCTTTGTGAAGCATCTGAAATCGTCACCATCTCAGTTTTAATAAGTGGAGGCTAGTGTTCAGAAAATACAGAAGGCTATATTCAATAGTCATGAAACAGTGAACTATACAGTATACAGACCTTGACATGAGGAAACAGTGGTTATTGTAAAGAAATTTCAATTTTCTAAAATCAAATCTTAACACCAGGTGCACAATCCTGACAAACAATAGCATCAATAACCTACCTATAAAGCATTTTCAAACTATATTAGTAGATATTCCATTCTACATTCATGGATAATGTTAACTGATTAAGGAAAAAAGATGTCCAAGTCCTTTAAATATGCAACTCCCCAAATACCTTAAACAAATATGAATATGAATATGAATAAATCAGGCATTGTTTGGCTTCTCAATATGCCCAGTGATGCCTGAACAGGAATGGTCAAGTAAAATCTACTAAAGATGACACCCCGTTATGAATCTATGCTGCTTATAATCCCTGCCCCTCCGTATACCCAGATTTAGCTGATTGGCACTATTGTTTTTGACAAGAATGCTCCCTAAACCTAGAATGTGCAATAGGATACTCTTAAAAGTTGTTTTACTTCATATCATTCACTATAATTTGACTGTATATTTTGGATTCAGAAAATTTTGATTTATCATCTATTGTAATAATGTCTTTACAGATCTGCCTATATGATATAAAATAACGAGACGTGTAAATGCAAAGGCTTTTGGCAAACAGCAGTAATATGATAATTATTACAACCAGTGATGCTTTATGAAGTACAAATATCCATGTACAAGTGAAGTGAGATTGTGCTAAGCTCTAAAAGTAGATTTTTCACAAATGTGTATAAAATTTTGTGTTTTAAGAGATAAATATAATATTAAACATGCTGGCTGATTTTGCCACACACATTATAAAGCTTCATAGTTTGTCACAAAAGACCAATCAATTAAATGTTTGAAGACTCATAAAGCATGCAAACAGAAGGAGAACATGAGAAACTTAAAAAAGAAAAAAAAAGTTATAACCCCAAATTTCTTCTGAGAGAAATGAAAAATTTGACTCCCTCAATCTGCAATATTATGAGTTCCGAATAAGATAGAGAAGAAGAAAGGCAGAAATATTTGACCCTATGATGAAGACACTTCCGGGTCACTTCCTCTTCTACCATTTACCTCTGAGCAACAAATTAATTGTGGTGAAACATCAATGTCAACATGCAATGCTTCTCCATTTAGTTTGGGTAGATCTTCCTCCTTTTCTTCTTTTGGGCATTCATCATCCAATCTTCTTAATGTTGTCTTCTCTGATGTGTTTATGGAAGCTTCATTTGTTTGGACTGGAGCCCCAGTCAACTGCTTGTGCTCAATTGCTGTTTGAATTGGACTGACTTCTTCTGAAAATTTAACACAAACTTCTGCTGTTGAGCTCTGTTCCTCCTCTTTGGGACTTTCATTTTCTTCCAATTCTTCTTTTATAGTATCTTGTATAATCTGCTGGTGTGGCTGATACTCTCCAACTTCATCTTCACTCTCACTACTGTTGCTATTGGATGACAGTGATGAAGAGTCTTTTTTTGCTAGGTGTTCCATCTTCTGACTTTCCCCACCACCACAGACAAATGGCATTTTCCCCCTGTCGGTATCATCTGTGACTATTGTCTCTGCTATCCCAACCTCTGCCTGCTTCTTCTCCACTATGTCTAGAGTCTCATGTGAACTCTGCACAAAACAAATGGGTGAGAAAAAAAACAAAAAGTAGAACATATGAATAAACAAAATAACGAACATAAAACTTAAGGATAAGTGGGTCAGGTCATATGAAGAGCAAAGATGACTTGCAATTGTTAAATGAAAAAAAAACACAACAATAACAAACAAAGAAAAGACAAAAGAAGATTTTGAAATGAGCTCAATGGACTATGGCAATATATTAGAACCTTAATAGTCCTGCTGGTTCCAATGGAAGGCTCTTCCGTTTGGAAAGTAAATTTCTGTGAAACAAAAAAGCAATTGGAAGAGATATAAATACATTTTTACACTCAACTGACACAAACATCTGCCTTTACATTTTACAACAGAACAGAGGAGCTGACTATACACTCATACATTTATGGGGCAATTTTGTTAGATCACAAACAAGAACACTGAAAATATTTTTTAAAAAAAACTTGAGCTGGTGACTCTTCCAGAGCTTTATTATGGGTTATGTTAAACACCAATATAAAAACTCTCTCTCATACACACACTCTAATATTGGTATTTCTCTCATAAATAACAAAAGCCAAACCATCCACGCTAATACTAACCAGACATCATTCAGTCAAATCAAAGAAATGTTCAGAAATTTCATACATGTACATGCAGTACTAGTTTCTAGTTAACTTAGTTAGGGGCTTCTGGCTATGTTGCTATAACTACCAAAATATTCATATTTCAGTGAAAGTAATAAGACTTCCTAAGTTATTATAATGTAGGAACTATAGAGCTAATGTAGCTCTAAAGAAATGTGAAATTTATCCATAAGGATACTGCATCAGGTGAAGGAGTTTATTTAATAATGTAAGCATAAAGCAATATGACTAGAACATAGTAATGATTCCCTGCTATATTGACATTAACTGTTAACATTTAGCATCTTTTATGACCCATGCCATAGGTCCTACAATATAGATAAATTAGTTAACAGAGCTTAAAAGCTAAATGATACAGAAATATGAGCAAATAGGAAAATAGTATTTTTGTGCAATTAAACCTAGCACAGCATGTGTGATATAATAAGGAATTTTAGTTTTAACAAGTATAAAATTTGATGTAGTTAACGTTTATGGGTTTCCTGCATTATGCGTGTGTGTGTGTGTCTATGTATACACACAAATAGTGAAAAAGAATTTTTAAGATCTACCTCCAAGAAACAGATTTCTGGTAAACTATTTTTACCTTACTATTTTTGCTCTACAAAACATATTGCATTTAATATTTCATTAGATATTGAATTTTGTAAAAAGAAGAATAATGGAAGTGCCTGTCATCTAGTCATCTATTCTCAGTACATTTGGGGAGATAACTCTGAAATAGCATTGATGGAAAAAGCCCACCATGCAAATGTTTTCAGCATATTTTGGTTTCTATTGAACATTTAGGCTTTTCAAAATAATTTCAGCTTACGTCTTTTAAAATATGACAGGACACTGAATTTATTGGACCTAAGCATTTATCTGACATGTGAAAAATTGTCCATCCACCCATCCACAACTCTATGCTTTGATTTGGGAAAAGGAAATGTGTAAGAGCACCTCAGGTAATAGCTGAGAGAATGATGAGGCAGAGTGTTTTTCAGAAGGTACATTATCTTTCCCAACAGCGCTCTCTGCTGTCCACGAGAAAGCTGAAGTGAAGGCAGATTTCATGCTAGTAGAAAACCCCTCTTTACTAAATAAAATGGATGCTATCTCCTCTTCTAGGCTCTAGACAAGTTAGAAAGTGGAAATCAACAAATTAACTCTAGAAGACAGAAGTGAGCTGAAAGAAAGAAAAAGACAAACAGGGAATAAAAGGAAAAGATCATGCAAAAAGAGAAATACATAGAATTGTATATTTCAAATGTGTTTCCTTAAAGACAGAAATTATTTTACTTCTATGACAAAAATATATTTTAAAGTTAATTCAATATTTGCCATTCCATTTAACCCTCTTCTATTTTTAAAACTATAAATTTCACATTAAATCACCCTAACATGACATGTCCATTAAAATTTGATCACATTTTCAATTTCCCCCCTCTAATATTAGTTGAATTTGTTTAATAAATTTATTCTCCTTGTAATATTAATACTACAGGTAAGAGTAGGTTCAACAATGAATGTGTATAATAAACCTGCATAATCAATATGAATCAAATGATTCTATTTTTAATTTTGCAGTTTTACTTAAAACTTTACTGTTTTGCATTAATGTATTATACCTCAATATGGAAGATGGACAGTAAAGCTGGAGTTAATTTGTAACACAAACTGTAATGTGAATAGTTGAACTAATGCTAAGTTTTGATTGTCTCTTTAATTATTTTTGAATAAAATGATTGCATATATAAAAAACAAGTTGGGTCAAATAGGAGCATTTATCAAACAGTAGTCTGTTTCAAAGTACACAGCAAAGGAGTTTTTCAAGATATTTGGATAGTCCTTGAAAGAAAGAATTATAGCTTTCTGAGG